CCTTTATTCTGCTGTTGTTAGTTTTATAAAACGATCTGTTGAATATATACGAGTATGAGGCCCGTATTTAATCTCGCGTTTAATATATTAAATCCCCCCACCCCTTTCCGGTTTATACCAAAACGAACGATTCTCATTGGACGCGAAAACCGTCACAGTTTGTTGACCGGGTTTACACGGCCCATACTAGTCCCGCTTCGTTTTAACGTAACAATGGCGCACCCGAATATAATTTCGGTGCGTAAACCGCCATTTTAATACGTTCGACGTTAACGGATACACGAATCCGACATTAAAAACGCGTGCCCGGGCGGATTTAAAAACATTAAAACGCCAACCGCACATAAATAACCTACAAATTTAAAACGGTGCGCCAGAATAGTCGCCCGAATCGATATACGCGCTCGCGCAGCGCCAATTAGTTGCAACAAATGCCGCGAATATTTATATTTATAGTCGCGGATTTTTTTATTTTTCGCGTTGCGAAACCCGACCCGAACGGGTATCCTGTTACCGGCAAATGCGATACTTGCACGGCCGATGTAATCAATCTTACCCCGACGTATCCACTCTACAGGTTTTACGATTATTCATTCCGCGACGCGTCTCCTTAATTTCCGTTTGCTGATATCAATTACGCTGACGACAATGCCTCGAAGTATTATTAAAAGTGCATTAACGACGGTTATTAACACACACGCGGTTTAAGCTGCGTTATTATTTAATTCGCCGCGCCGTGTGCGAAGAACAAGTCCGCCGGTAATACAGGGCGCTACGAAAAAGTGGACCGATTCGCTAACGGTCCTTTCCTCTTAAAAATGCGTTATTGTTATTGTAATATTTATTTATTTATGTACAGAATACAAAAAAACGCATACTGTAATGCTTTTTATAAAACTTCTGGATTTTGCCTTTTCGCCATTCCTGTTGGCTTCTTCGGAGCTTGACTGGAACTGGCTCGTATTTTACTCTGTACCTGCTTATATATTGTTTGAGGGGGGCGGAGCTAAATGAGTGACCTAAACACCGTCTCGGATGACTGATTCCCATATTGGTGACAATTGGAGACCTGAGTAAAAGAATTGATTACATGCAAGAATTTTAGATTTAGATTTTAGATAGTAGGATTGCGTAGTATAAAATTGTATTACTTTTCCTAGAGTTAGGTCTTAATTACTTGATAATAATATTTTGGAAAAAACCTTTTCCAGACACCAACGTTTTTCTCGAAGAAGAACAACAAGAAGAACAATTGGGAGCTCAAGCAATCGAAAGCGGTTTAAATTGAATTGACCTACTTTTTGTAACACCCTGTAGTATGATTCAAATCTAACGTCATTTATTCGTGCACTGTTTTGGTTTTGTTTGCTAGTTGATCAAATTCGCTTGCTTACTCTGCTGACAATGTACCAAGAAGTCACGTTCGTTATTTAATCGTCTTGCCTTTCTCAGTTCTCAAGTTCCGTATTTGTTTCATTCCTAGTATCACCATTATACCGACGACTTAAGGCATGCAAGTCTATAATATGGAACTAAGAGGTAAACTAATATGACCAGTTCATACTATTCAGATTTTTGGTCGGGTGACTGTTGTGCTATTTCTTCCCCTAGTATTCCCTTCCTTTAATAAAACCTTTCTTAATTTATATTTAATGGTTATTTTTTCGAATATATCCCACAGGTTCTCACTTGCGTTGAGATCCGGACTTTGAGGAGGAGTCTCAAACCTGCGAGGAGTATTGTAAAGTATGAACAACATGAGTAGCGTGCTTTGGGTCTACAGATTTTCGCTTAAACTATTTTTACCCATTTTACCCATCGTTCCTTCAATTTTCATCATGCCATGATGCCTATTATTAGGGTTTGATGCAAAAGTGTTTTTTTTCAAAACTGGCTGTCTATTTCTAGCGGTGCTGGATTTTAATCTAGCTCTTTTGAGGGATCTATCCTTTTTATTTTTCTGGCAAAGTTCCTACGGAGTAAATACCTAATGTAAGTGAGAAAATAGGACATTTCGACAATCAGTTCTTTAATTCTTGTCCGACTTTTCCGATAGTGTTGGTGCGAAAAATGGAAACAATCGAAATAAACATGTCTTTCTTGTTGCAGGTAATGCCAAAGAAGTATTAATTCCGAAAGACGTGGTCAAGGAAAAATGGAAAGCTTCGGCAGCAAGTTTCTCTCAGTGCTTAGTGTTTTTTGTGTCGTGTCGTTGGCCAGCTGCGCGCGATGGACCCATTCGACTTACCTCAGCCCGGATTATCGGCTTTTGTGGACCTTAGGTCCTGGCCCTCAGGATATCACTTTCGAGGTGCAGGTGCGCACCCTGGGCTACGTAGGTTTCGGGTTTTCCAAGGATGGGAAAATGGCCGGCGCCGACATGGTCGTCGGTTGGGTGGACCAGGGACAGGTGTATTTCCAGGTAAGTTAAAGTCGAAAATATTAATCATAATCTTATAATTTGCGCATCATTTTCTAGTGCTCAGTGATTATCAGACGCTGAATTATCAAAAGAAATTAATTTAGCTTTTACGCTTATAGATATCATTCAATAAATGTTTCCGTTTTTCTAAGGTTCATTTATTATTCATTAACGTTTAGAAGGCTGTCAAATAAAAAAATAGTAGTAGCACATTAAGGCAAACTGTGAACGATATATCAAAATATCAAAATTGGCAGTCTTAAAAGTATATAAAGAAAATCCAATCATTGTTAAAGTAAAAAAATGAAAATATAGAAACAAACAGTACATCTAGAATAAGAAAAACAACTTAGCTACACTTCGAAAGAATTCAAACCAGGCCTTAGAATAGAAAAAATTATAGGGTCAAAGATGCTACCTTGCGGAACTCTCGTAAGAGGCGCTTCTAAGTTGGACAAATATTGTTGGACTCTACCTTCTAGACTGAAGGTCCCCAAAGAATTTAAGCTCTCAATATAACATTGAATGAACTATGGTATCAATTAAAATTAAAATATGAACCAGCATAATATAAGATTAGGGTAGATATGGTCTGTTCATAGATATAAGTCATTAACATACAATGCAACAAGATTATTGCCCGGGTCTTTCCTTAATTCGGATCAGTTAGTCGCTTTCTTATATCTATAAACAGACTTTATCTGAACTCTGTTCGGTAAGGTAGCACCAATACTGCAAATACTATTTACTACATCAGAATCAGCAATTTCAGTTGTTTTAGTTACGCAAAACAGAAGTTTATGCTAGTGTAGAACATGAAATGACTGACAATCTAATGATATATGTATTGTAGACTGGTATTTTCACTAAATCAAATCAAATTTGTATAATTATAGCCAAAAATTGAAACGGAGAAATCTTATGAATTTCGCCTTGGTGTCATTCAGTTCGCAGGCTCCGGCCACCGTAACTCAGCGCGACCGGGAATACACAAGCGTGAGTAATTGAATATGGTTATAAGGGCATCAAAAACGCTCTCGACTGTCGGCTCATATCTACCCATCTCGCTAACAACTTCGCTTATTACATTTTAAAATCGTTGCCTTTGTGCCTCGCGCACTATCCGACCTTTATTGTTCGCTGTCGCTGTGTTATTTAACTTTCGTATATACGACTGACGCCGAAATGAATCGCTACCTAATTTTAATAGTTACGGCCCCGCGATGACTGTTTCGGAAAGACTCGGAATTGCCCATTAATCAACGCGTCCTACTAAGTTCGGTCCTCGAAAGCCGGACGGCAGAATTGCCACTAGTTTTTAAACGTCGAGGTTTTCGAAAGTTCACAATGTTAGAGCAGCTGATGCTCCTTTTCGTTCATTGTTTCGACTGCTGCCCTGACTTTTTAACCGATAACGTGATAAACAATAATATTTATTATTCTTCTTCTTAGTCGTTTGCTCGGTTTCGAGCATCGTGAGTTCATAGATTGCTTTCTGTGGTGAGCTTCCATTCCTGTCTGTTTTCTGCCATCCTGAATGACTGGCAGAGGTTTTTGCCGGTAAGGTTCTTTATAAGATCCGTGTATCTTGTGGGCGACCTTCCTCTTGATCTTTTGCCGTGTACCGTTCCTTCCAGTGTGAGTCTTTCAAGGCCATTTCTTCTAACCACATGACCGAAAAATTTTGCAATTTTCTCTGCGACAACGATACTCAATCTCTTCCTAAATCCAAGTTGTTGTAGGATGGATTGGTTGGTTCTTCTCTCGGTCCAGGACACTCTTAGCATTCGTCGCCAGCAGAACATTTCAAATGCATCTATCTTCCTTTTATCATTCATTTTCAGCGTCCAGCATTCTGATCCATAGAGAAAGACTGAGAACACTAAACTTTTGACCAATCTTATTTTAGTGTTAAGGGATATTTGATGGCTTTTCCACACTATAGTTAGTTTGGTCATGGATTCTTTCGCTATGGCAGTTCTTCTTTTTATTTCTTCGCTAGATCCGCCCATGTTCGATATTGTGGTGCCAAGATATATGAAGGTATCAACTGTCTCGATGTTATTTATCTGTTTTACTTCAGGTCTGTTGTTATTTTGGCGATCAATTATCATTATTTTGGTTTTCTTCTTATTTATTTGTAGACCCACTTCGTTGCTCGTCGCTTCAACTCTACGTATGAGACTGATCAATTCTTCTTCTGACGCAGCGATTAGTGTCGTATCATCGGCGTAGCGTAGGTTACAGATTTTGATGCCATCAATGGTGATTCCTCCCTGCCATTCATCGAGCGCCTTCCTCATAATATTAAAGAGTAGTGGGCTTAGTATGCAGCCCTGTCTGACCCCTTTACCCACTCTAAATGGGTTGGTTAGTTCTCCATCTACTCTGACATAGGCTGTATTGTTGTCGTATAACCTTTGAATTAACGATATTAGATGGCCAGGTGTGCCCATTTCATTTAGAATCGTCCATAAGTTTTGCCATCGTACACAATCAAAAGCTTTAGAGTAATCTATGAAGCATAAGTAGGTAGGCACATTGAATTCTCTTGACTTTTCAATTATTTGTCGAAGGTTTAGTATCTGCTCTCTAGTTCCGCGTCCCGGGACAAAGCCGGCTTGCTCTGGTGGTAGTTGTGGAAGTAGGAAAGGCTTTATACGTTCTGATATTATGTGTAACATAACCTTGCTAGCGTGTGAGATTAGAGCTATTGTCCTATAATTATCGCAGATGTCCTTCGGTCCCTTCTTGTGTATTGGCACATAGACCGATTTCGTCCAATCATCGGGCCAAATATCGGTGTCCCATATCATTTGACAGATCCTATGAAACAATTCCACTCCTGTTTCCTCAAGTGCAGTTAGCATTTCAGCAACAATGCCATCCTCTCCAGGCGACTTGTTGGACTTCAGCTTGGTAATTGCTGTCCTTACTTCTTCTTTCAGTATGGGAGGTTCTTTTCCATTGTATGTGCTTTTTTCTGTGTCATTGTTTGAGTTTCCAGTGTCTTCCATTAATTTTTCGCAGTAGTTCTTCCATCTTTCCTTTATCTCTGCTTTGTCTGTTATTAATTTACCAGCTTCGGATCTTATCGCCCAGGATTTTGAGTTGAACGTGCGTGTAATGTGCTTGATTTTGTTAAACAGGTCTTTTGATTCGTTGTTGTGCGAATGTTGCTCAGCTTCGGCGCATATATCGTTTAGGTACTTGTTTTTGTCTTTTCTACACTGGTGTTTGATATCTTGGTTGAGCCTGCTATATTGTTCTCTATCTTCATGTCTGTGTAAGCCCGTGGCCTTGAGTTGTTTCAGCGATTCAATCTTCTTCCAGGTTTCTTCTGCAATCCATGCTTTCCTCCTCTGTTTCACAGAAGCTTCAGTTTGTAATGCCACTTTTAGCAGTGCAGTTTTTGTTTTGTTCCACAATGAGTTAGAGTCATCGTCTGATTGCGTATGTGAATTTATTTTGGAGATTTCTGCTTTAGCCTTTGATCTGAAATTTTCATTATGTTTAAGGCCCGACCAATTCCTAAAGGTTTTATTAGGCTGCGATCTGCTTAATTTTATGCGGAGCTCTGCTGCGAGAAACTGATGGTCACTGTGACAGTCCTTTCCTGGGTAAGTCCTGGTATTCCTTACTGAAGTCCTCCATCTGGATTTTACTAGGATGTAGTCTATCTGGTTTTTATGTAGGCCTCCAGGTGAGGTCCAGGTGTATAGTCGTCTTGAATGATGTTCGTACCCCGTGTTTGTGATGAAAAAGTTGTTCTCAGTGCAGAATTGCAGCAGTCTTTCTCCTCTAACATTTCTTTTTCCCAGACCGTATTTGCCGATAATTTTGTTTAGATGTTCATCTCCAGGTTCTCTTCCAACTTTGGCATTATAGTCGCCTATTAGCATCGTGATTTCTCGATTTGGTAGAGTCTCTAGTAGCTGTTCTAATTGGGCGTAGCATTCTTCTACCTCGCTTCGCTGGTTGGAAAATACACTTGTATAATATTCAGCTTCACAGGACGCGCGTTAAATCTGATCAAGATGATTCTATCATTGATTGCTCTGTATTCTGTTATGGAGTTTTCAAGTGTCCTGTTTACTACTATGGCCACGCCGTTTCTAGATGTGTCCTCGTTGCCTGAATAAAAAACGATGTTATTGTTTCTGGATATGAAGTGTCCTGAGCCCTTCCAATGCGTTTCTGCTAAGCCCACTATGCTATGACTGCTTATTTCTTTCTCTACTATGGCGAACTTTCCGGCTTCTAGCAGTCCGCGAACGTTCCAGGTGACTGACTTTTTAACCGATAACGCGATAAACAATAATATTTATTATTATGCCACATAAAAAAAACAAAATAGTTATTTTACATATAAAATTGTAGACAAAAACTAAGAGCGAAGCATAAAATTGCCACAATTTCTTGTATTGTAACAATGAATGTTTCTCAAATAGGTGACTTTTTCACAAATATAATTAGAAACACACTGCCGTCGAATTTTAATAATAAATTCGTAGACATTAAACATTACTTTTTGTTTTATAGACAAGAAATTAAGTGCTTTTAGTATATTTTTCATTGCTAAGCAGTTCTTTAATAATAACGGAATTTTTCTCGTATGGTTTGCACGTCCATTAAGTGTACGGAGCTAATTTACATCTTGTTGGCGCCGCTGCCCCCCACCCCCACCCCCCGCGTTTCCGTAAAAATAATAACAGCAATAAACAATTACTTTTATTTACGGAGCCATTGTTTTAAGATCGCGTCCGCCACTATGGCGCGCTTTCCACGTAGATTCCAGTAAAACGGACGTTAGAGTTACTGCATGGAGCTTATATATCAGCTACGCGAATCGGGACACGTAGTGTTTTAAAATTTAGCCCTGCCACAGAGAAGAATGGAGAAAAATGCACAGAGCACCCTAGAGCGGGCATGCCCGGCGGCATCTAAAATCGATTAAAGTCAGTGGCGTGTATTTTACATTCGGATGCGAAGACGATACGTATTAAAAATAACGATAATTAATAGTTAAAAACTTCTACTTGATTAAAAATGGAGTTTTGCTGAACAGTTTCACATAATGCCAGCGTTTAAACTGGGTAAAGCAACATGTTCGGACCTGTTGTATTTGTCGGTACGGGAAACACTGATAAAATGCGTTCTGCGCATGTAATTTGTCATTGCAAATCATCATTCGAAGGGCGAGTCTTGAAGAAGTTATTCTATATGCTTCGTCGGGGGCGATAAAAAAGAAATATTGGAACGATTAAATAAAATTAATTTGATTACAATATTTTTGATAATTTAGATCTTCTGATTTCAAAAAACCTGTAAAATCGATTTTCTTCACCGGAAATATCAGTTTGTGCTGAGAAAAACTTTTTACTTCGTATGTAACATGAAGCAATGTTGATGGTAGGAATATATCGTCAGCTGTTGCAGTAAGAGGCGAATTGGAAAGGACGTAATTTCCTCCTTTAATATTAATCGCAAATGTTCTATTCGCAGCACATTGCAGATGTTGCCGAAATATTTTTTGAAGCAGCAGTGGCAATGGTTATGGAAATTCATGGTATGGTCTGTTCATAGATATAAGAAAGTGACCAATTGCTTTTGAATGGGATTATCCAAGCGTGGTCATTAACATACAATGCAACAAGATTATTACCTAAAGTTTCGGAATATAAAATCAGGTAAAATCGTGGTCCGTAATAGAAAATAATTTTATACCTACCTGTGTTTAATATTCATTGGTTTGGTATACTACTTAGTTTAAATTTATTAGTAATCATTCTTATTTCGTGTGTAATACAGCGTGTGTTGAATCGTGTGCGAATTATGCAAAATATGTGCGAATCTAGTGTATCTCAGGAGACCCTCCAGCTCAAATGTAGAAAACACTGTGATTAAGGAAGGAAGGAAGAAACGGCCACATTGACATCAACATCAACTGTATGGAAAATTTTGAATAATCCCATTTCAGCGAGGAAAAAAAGAAGCGATGCTGATATTTTCTCGAGTGTAGATGAAAGTGATCAAGATATAATACGGCGTAAAATTTACCAGTTATACGAGGAACAAAGCGTGCCTACATTAGGTATCTTAATAAGGAGGCTCGAAAAAGATGAAACCGGTGTTAAATGTGGCAGAACTACCTTATGGAAGTCTATTCAACACATGGGTTTTAGATTTAAAAAAATTGACAAAAGGCAAGTTTTAATGGAATCTTTTAGTATTCGGAAATGGCCATTGGAATATCTAGAAAAAATTTGGACTTACAGAGAACAGCAAAGGCCAATTATTTACTTGGATGAAACCTGGTTCGACACTTATGATACCCCAAACATTCCTCCTAATAGCGTCATTATAATGGATAATGCAAGTTATCACAGTAGACAGTTGACTAAAACCCCTTCCTCATGTGTCACACAATCAACAATCCAAAACTACATGTATAATAACGACATTTATTTTCACGAAGATTATACCAAAAATTTCGATTCGAGGTCGATTTTTTTTATTCTCGGCTTGAATTTTGCTTGTAAATGTTATGTTACCTAACAGAACTTAATGAAATTTCTTGGGGGCACTTAAAGTGTATGAAACACTTATATCAGATATCAATGATCTATGACAAAAAATAATAGACGATTGCGAAATCATTAGAAATAGGTTAGGCCTATTTTTTTCGTGTTCGACATATTTTTTTTTATGTGTATAAGAAAATGATCGTTTATTATTAATATTTTCTTATTTTCGAAAATATTAAATGTCTTGAAAAACTTGGTGTAGGTTAATATTGCTGGGTTTCATTTCCACTTGGTTTTCCGTTACAGAGATGCATAGCGCGATGTCCAGTATCACCTTTCTGTAAATTAGTGTGGGGTATTCGTGGCGAGAATAAAAATATCGATTTGTGGCCGAACGATAACATTTATCGACTTGAGAAAAGAGTAACGATTTTCGAGGATTTGTGATTCTGCTTAAGGCAGTTTGTTCTAAATTGCCGGTAAAGTGCCCTCTAGTGACAAATTTTTGAAACACTTGACTTTTACTAAACCAGGCCCTCTGTGTAAAATCCCAGCTTGTTCCGTTTGAGAATTGAGATCATGCGTTAATAATAAGTGTTTAAAACGTAAATTTTGACAAGCTGTAACTCGGAAAACATTACGATTTGGAATATTTATTACATGACTTTCTACCATTATTTTTCCACGATGAATCCCCCTCAAAGTTTCCCCAAAACCAAAAATTAAAAAAAAACATTTATCGACGTGTAATAATCATTTAGGAACGTCCGAAACTCCTAGTACAAGCGATCGGGTGCCGTGACGGGATGGCGCAGACCGCGTTGCATTTTCTGGTAATTGATTTGAGGCGTTCGATGTTGAATGCGATCCAACGACCCGCGAGACAATCGCAAAACGCGAATTAATGCGCCCTACTATGCAATTTTGCTATGAATAACATAAACGAACGTCGCCGATTAAATTTATTCCCGGACGATCCCCGGAAATTCCGTAACCACGTACGGACCGTCGTTTTCGTTTTCAATTCCGTTATAACAAATGATTATACGTTCAAAATGTCACGAAAACCGGCCGTTCAATCATGGAATTTCATCCCGCGTTTCGTGATCTGCGGCAGTTTACCGTTCCACCATTCGTTGTGATTCGGAGACGGACCGCCACACTGCGGAAAATTTCGTTGGGTTCGCATTGCTAATGAGTTTCGGGGCAATTTCTATGCCTTTTGTGTGATTGGTGTTCGTAAATTCATAGATGCCGTCATAGATTTTTAGGGCGGCAACTTGAGTGGGCCAAGAACAATGCTTACCACTCCGGGAAGGACAGTACTCCAAAAGTAATTAAGCTTTTGGGGCAGGCACACGCGAAAGAGAGATAAAAATCACCCTTGATACATATCCCAACGTATGGTGTGTTGATAGATATAAGAAAGTGACCAATTGCTTTTGAATGGGATCATCCAAGGGATCCCAGAGATAATAAACGCATCCGTATCAAATAAATATAAACAACACGCCTCTCGAACTTGCAAAAAGGCCGCACTCTGTGACCTGTTGCCGCAAAACAACCTCCCCAGTTCGCCGAAACCTTGTTTCGAACAATTACAAACTTCGGCGATTAACAAGTTATGTCGGTTAAACGAAATTAATTACGAGCAGCGGCGGCGGGGGCGGGGGCGCCGCTACGAATTCGTTTTCATTTCTGGAATACGGGACAGTAAAAGCGGAATCAGCATTCAAATGGCTTTTGTGGCGGAACGTGTCCCCGACGCCGAAACAGTTTATATATGCGTCGCATGCCGAAGTTAAACCGGCCTGGCAATTCCCCCAAGGTTCCCCGTTTTCCGCGCTTCCTCGTAAGTTCCGCCATTTTAAGCGGCTCGATCCGGAAAGAGTCTCCGGCCCTATTTGTTCCTCCCCGGAACCACCCGAAATCTGGTATTAGTATTGACTTGAAATAAAGGATCTAAGAGACCGATCGCTGATAGAAATCGACTACTACTTCACTGTGACACGAACGGTGTCAACAAATCTATGCGGCAGAGGAAAGGACCACCTTAAAATCCGTATAACTTCGGATTTCCACCGAGCAGAGAAGACGGAAACAGTTTTCTCCCTCCGATCCTGAAAGGGACTAACTATTTCTGTTAATTGATAATACAGCCACACACCGCACCACACCGTTAAGACTAAGACTAAGTGTTAAAAAATCCAAAGTAAGTCGCAGTTTTTCAAAATTTCTTGTTGCATTTTAAAAAGTTTGAGTCTGATAGACAAGAAGCCTTAGTAACAGATTTAAGGTTGTGATTCATAGACGACGTAGGATCTTTTTTAAGTTGACGATATGATACGTCTGTTAGAATATCTTGAATCTTTTCC